GGAAAGTGGGGTGGTGGTTAAAGGCAATGGAGTCCCACATGGTCGACCATGGTTCGAGTCCCAGATCTGGCGGCTTGCTTTTTCACTCTCCTTTTCTCTGTCTCTCTCTGGCCAAATTAAGTAATAATAATAACAACAACAAATGGAATTAAATAAATAAATAAATTCTTAAAAAAAAAAAAAAGAATCGTTGGGAACAGCAGTTGGCATAATGGCTATATTGCTGGACTCCCATGTAATTGAGTCTCATGTGGTTTGAGTCCTGGACTCGGTGGCTTAGACTTGCACCAGTGCATGTGCATGCGTGCCCAGGATCCCAAGAGGAGAAAGGAGAAGAGATTGTGGTGTGGCCATGCCCCCTTTGGGGTGATTTCTCGCTTTCTGTCTCTCTGTCTCTCTCTGTCTTCCTGGTGAGTGCATGTACCCTATAGCAAAAACCTCTAAAACAAAAAAGTAAATAAAATGAAATAATTCTTACAACAAACAAAAACACTGCTAACCTTCACCAATACTTATCTCATTGTTCACTTGGGACAGGTTGGCCACAACTGAGCTAACAATGACACCAGCCAATTTCTAACAAAAGCAAGGAGATAGACTTGTGCCTCTTTGGAGCAAGCTAGCCTATACTTATTTTTCTGACTCCCTCTGACAGCTCTCACACAGCCACAGGGCCAAGGCCCTGTGGGCTGCAGGTTACAGCTAGAGCAAGTGTTTCCAACCCAGGGCTTCCCTCTGCCAAGATGAGTCCAGACAGCGTATTCAAGAGCAGCTGGGGAAGGAGTCCAGGGTGTCCATGCATGTAACTGGAAGACGTGCCATTTTGTGCCATTTTGTGGACTTATCCACCTAGCCCTCGTGGAGCAGGTACCTGAGGCAATCTTTTCATTTCATCCTACCAATCTTGGTAAGTCAGACTGTAACCATGGTGGCAGCGGGAAACTATGCCTTCGAAAACTGTGATCTGGGGCTTTCGAGAGGACCATGCTCTTTTTCAGCCTTGAGGGCAGGCTGAGACTTCTCTAAGAAAACCGGATCTATTGCCAGCTCGGTGATCCTGACCCCAGAGCATCAGGCACTCCTCCGACCCATCCATACGGACGGCGACTGGAGCGAACCCAAAACGTGTTCCAACTCCAGGGCCCCAGGACTTTCTTTCTTCCTTTCTATTCACTCATAAATAAAAAGGGGATGCTGATTATGAATATCAAATGGCTATGTACCCTGAGAGTTAAAAATTAGCTTTTTATTTTTATCAACCAGGAAAAGAAGTCACTACTTTAAAGACCCAGAAAAGGTAAGCTCTTCAAAAAGAGGATGCCACAAGCAATGCTCAGTTTAATTAGGGCTGCTCATCTTACTTCCTGTCTGCCTTTCTCACCTTGATGGTATGGCTATCAACTCAGTTCTGACCATCCAGCCCCACGGGAAAAGCTCTCAGTAATGTGGCACACAGAGATCTGAGTCCCAGCTCTGCCTCTCAATGGCTATGTGCTCCTGGAGGCAAGCTAGCTTGTTCCTGCAACCAAAAATGAGATGATACATGGAAAGTTCTTGGCAACACAGCTGGCTCACAGGAACAGGTAAAAAGTAACTCCAGTGTACACCTGATCTCACCACTTTGTTGGGCATACACTGCAGAACTGCAGATGCCCATCTTTAAAAATACACCGTATATTCTCAAGTCAAACGTAAGCATTTAGGACTTTCTCTGGTTTTGAGTCTTACTTCGGCAAAGGTTTATAACAGATGTCTACTTGTGCCCATTGGAAGGTAGCCCCAATTCTTTTCAAAGCCATTACTCTTCAGAAATATACAGAAACTGACTGAAGCTATCTCCCATGGTCCATCACCCATACCTCTTGACCCAGGTCCCTTATTCATTCTGCCCTCAAGCACTTCATCTATTCTCCATCCACAGTCCTTGATGTCTGTCTTTCCAAATCCCACCATTCCTTCCATTACAGCCCCTAGCATCAACTACACTGCTCTCTGGTGACCAAATTCACACTCACCTTGACTGATCCGTTCCCTAACTGCGCTGTGCATGTTTTGGCTCCCCGCTGTACTGTCAGCTTCTGATGGGTAGGGACCACGTCTCTTATTCTCGAGCCTTCCTCTGCACAACGTGCACTGCTCCCAACAGTGCACAGCTGTGTTAACAAAGACTTACGACTACCTACATGCTATTCTATTCCTGAGGAACCCAAGGAGATGGAGCTGACTCAACATTAGCAAGAAATGCTTTCAAAGAATGTGCTGAATGTTTCATATAAATGCTCTGTAAGAACCTGCTTAGATTAAGAAAAAAAAGGAGGGCCATCCCCATAGCCTGGTGGTTAAGGGAACTTGATCCCACGTGGCCCCAGTAGTTTTGAAAAGCATAGAGGAACATGTGTGTCCCAAAGGCCAATAGAATAGAGAAATGGGGAAGGGTGACTATGTGGGGTGACTATGCCCCTTGAGGGCTGTTTCTCCGACTTTCTATGTCTCTGGAAAGCACATGTACCTTGGCAATTAAAAAAGAAAAGAAAAGGGACCAGCAGTTGGCATAATGGCTATGTCGCTGGACTCCCATGTAGTCTACCGCGATTCGAGTCCCAGTCCCAGTGGCTTAAACTCATGCCGGGCGCGTGTGCGTGCGTGCCCAAGATCCTGAGAGGAGAGTGGAGGAGAAGGGATTGTGGCGTGGCCATCTTCCCGAGGGGTGATTTCTCGCTGTCTGCCTCTCTGTCTCTCTGGTGAGCGCACGCACCCTGTAGCAAAAAACAAAAATAACAAACAAAAAAACTCTCAAAAAAAAAAAAAGGAAACGAAAAAAGACCCCAATTTCTCTTTGGGATCTAAGTTTTACATTTTCAGTGCATTATGGTCTTCTTAGCTATTATCTGTGGTGGGAATCTTTTCTCTATAGTTGTCACAAATGTTACCTCTAAATGATTTTTATCAAATCTACTTTAAAAATTATTGGGTTGTCAGAAAAGTCATGATGCATTTTTGCATAGAAAAAACAGAAAAATATCTCATAACTTTTCTGATGACCCAATAGGTAATATACTATTATGAGTTTACCAACTTCAAAAAATACCTCACTGGCCTCACCGTCAACAGCTTCCATAGTCCAGGCCTTCCAAAAGAAGCGGCACCTGGTAGGTCCTTAATTAAGGTTGGCAGAAAATCCCAGTCCACTCCCACCTCACCCCCGAGGATGAGCACTGGTTAAAATGCACAGGTCAGGACCGGCAGGTGGCATGGTGGTTAAGGGTGCTGGACTCCCACATGGCCGACTGTGGTTCAAGGTCTGAACCTGGCAGCTGGCTTTCTCACTTTCCCTCTCTCTCACTTTGTCCCTCTCTGCTCAAATCAAAATAAATAAAGTTAGATGATTCTAAACAAGTTAAAACGCACAGGTCCTCACAGGAAAGGAGAACAAGTACTGGGTTCCCACCTCTGGGAGATGAGCACAATGTTCCAGAACACCAGTCTCTCTCCTAGGACTACAGCAATGACTGACACAAAGGGCTCATGGATGAATAAAGCGGCTTCCCTTTTAGAAAGAACTGGAACTCCTGGTTTTGCCTCTACCAACTTGTATCTTCCCATTAAACTCAACTGCCTCAAGTTCCCATTATAACAAGGCATGCTTAGTCTAGGACTAGCTTATTTACAACCCAGAACATTCATAGACTCTATAGGGCTAAATTAAGAAAGAAAAAACTGGAGAAGCAGGAGCTTAGAAGAAAGTCTTTTATTTATTAGAATGTTAAGATATGGAAACTTTTTCCTCAAACACAGGCAGCTTACTGCCTTACCAGTTTACTTTTCTGATATCCTATACAACTAACATGACTCTACAAAATCCTGTGCAATGACCGTCCAATCAACCGGTAAACCGATCCTTCGTGAGACGCTGCTACCGGATGAAGTCCCTCTTACTAGGCCACGTGGAGAGAGGGCTCACAGTACCGGTTTCTTTTCTTAGGCTGTCTCTTGATCTAGACCACGTATGAACTATTGTTAGAAAAATACCAAGCAACGTGCCCCTCAAATAAACGTCAACTTTACTTTTGAAATTGAGGGTGAACGTCCACATAATGCAAGGGCAGGTTTAACGGTGTGTGACAACAGACAGCTTGCTGGGCACAGCAGTGCTTCAGAGCAGGATGTACAGGAGCTCATAGGACTTGCCACCTGAGCTGCCTCCCACAGTGCGCTCTCAGCATCAGGCTTTATTCAGCCAACCAACACCAACGACCAGGAACCATCACCCACGGAGTGGAGTGCAAAAGGTGCTGTTTATCAACCAGCATCGAGGACTCGATCAAGAAATTAAACACCTGCAAGAGCACCTCGCAACAACTGGAGTATTTAAATCACAGCTAGCTCAACAAACAATTCTCTCTCACTCATTCTCCACATTTGGAAAAGTCAAAATATCACTTGGGCCTCTCTGGGATGTGGATGAGGAAGTCAATGGGCTGTAACAGAATAAGAAGACAGGAACAAGACATGCACAGGGTAAATAAAGTGAAAGCCCAAGAGCAGCATTTAGAGTAAATAAGTGAGCTTGTCTTTCTCTTCAGAAAAACAAATAAAACCCCTCCCAAAACCAGACTAAAACAAAACAAAAATACAAAGTAGGAACAAATTCCCATATGTGTTGTTGCTCTAAGGTACACATTTATGCTGGAAATATGGCTGGTGATATTTTGACACTCTTTTTAAAGGTAAAGAACTTTGCTCTTTCAACACCCAAACCAGAGCAGACAGACAGTAAATTATACGTGTGGATGAGGCAACATCCACAGGATGAAGATGGGGTGGGGGGAGGGGAGAAGGGGTAGGTTCTTGTGTTGTTGCAGTTGGCAGGAGAGCTAAGCAGTCTTAAAAGAACCTCCTCCGGGGAGTGGCAGTCTAGGATTACAGGTTTGCCATGAAGGGGTATCACGATTCCCAAGGCCCGCCACCTACCCCTTCTCCTCTTCTCCGAGGGCACCTACCTTACTGTAAGTCACTACTGATAAGTTGTTTGCGTGACTGCTGGGGGACAGATTTACAGAGTTCTGTGAGAGTCTATTCTGATCTTGCTCGGTTTGGTCAGGAGCAGGAGCCCATGTGTTTTTGCTGATCGAGTCGAACTCGGAACCCCCAGGGTCTTTTAAGTTGTTTTCATCTGATTGTCGGTTCTTTTGGGGAGAGGCAAACGGGTTGAAGTTTCCTTCTACCTTGCGATGCGGCTGTGTGTTGAACTCCGTTTCAAAAGATGACAGCTGCTGCGTTACTCCTAAGAGTCCACCCACCTCCACACTGAGAATCACCCAGATGACATCTGAAACAAAAAGGCAGCTCAGGTCAATGCCAGGCACACCCTTGAGGACCCAGTTGGCCACCATCAAATCCCCCAAATGCCAACTAAACAACAGAAAGAAATGTTCTTCTCTACATTAATTTTAAAAGCTTGCTGCTCAAGTTGCCCAGTACACCTGCACTGCACGCATTTCTGTATTTTGAAAATGTCAAGTTCAAACTCTGATACAAACTGAGTAGGGGACTGTGATGAATCCATGAAACGCTACTTGTACAAAAGCTTACCAGCTGATTCTAATGCAGTCATAGTTGGAAACCATTACTCTAGAGGAACAATGACCAACAGATAGAAACCTAAAAGCTATTGTTCCCCAAATTAACAGCTCTTTGTGGTTTCTGTGGTATTTTGTACACTTTAAAGTCAGAAAATCCAAGACAAGAATAATTTTAAAATGCTTTTAATTACTAGAATTAAAACTTATAGACACCCCCTGCCCCACAGGGCATTTTAGAGTGCCTATATATTGTCCATAATAGGATGACTGAGGGGCTGGCAGGTGGCATGGTAGTTAAAGATGCTGGACTTCGGGGAACCAGCAGTTAGCGTAATGGCTATGTCGCTGGACTCCCACGTAGTCGACCGCGGTTCCGGTCCTGGACCCGGTGGCTTAGAACTCACAACTCACGCCGGGCGCGTGTGTGTGCATGCCCAAGATCCCGAGGAGAATGGAGAAGGGACTGTCTCTCTGTCTCTCTCTGTCTGTCTGGCAAGTGCACACGCCCTATAGCGAAAAACCTCTCCAAAAAAAAAAAAAAAAGATGCTGTACTTCCATATGACCATGACCGACTACAGTTCAAGTCCTAGACCTGGCGGCTTACTTTCTCACTTTCTCTTTCTTTTTCTTTCTTGCTCTCTCACTCTGTCTCTCTCTGGTTGAATTCAAATAAATAAAGTTAAATAAAATAATTATTTTAAAAAAATAGGGTAACTGAGAGAGAGAGAGAGTGTGCACGTGCGAGGAGAGCATTATACTAACATTAGGAAACAGGTATAAACCAGCACTAATTCATGCAAACCTGGACATATCATCACCCTTATTATTGTCTCAATCTATGTGATCAAAGGCACTAAGAGGGGCCAGCAGGCTAAGGCGCTAGACTCTGACATGTTCAACTACAGTTCGAGGGCCAGAGCTAGCAGCTTGGTTTCTCACTCTCTCTCTTTAGTGAGTGCATGTACCTAACAGCAAATTTAAAAATAATAATAAATAAATAATTTTTTTAAATGCGCCAAGAATTTGGTGACTTTCTAACATAACCAATTAACACCAACTTTGTTTCTCTGTAATACAGGGAAATTCCACTACCTACCTACACTGAAACTGTGAATGATTTTTTTTTGTTTTAATAAAGATGCACCATAGTATATCTGGTTATAATTCTGGTCATGATTTCATCAACTTCCAGAATTAAGGGTTCTAATAGAAAAAAAGAAAGAAAAATAGTAGTTTCCTTTGATGTTCAGCAGCTTACTTCAGAAAACAGTGGCATCTATAGTTCTGCTGCAAGGTTTTCAAAAAGCAAGCTACAAAAAGGTCAAGAAGCTTTTCAATGTGTGAATCCTGCTAAAAACAAATATGAAAAAAATGACTAGACTCCTAAAAAAAACTGCTGAGAGGTTGACAGAAAAAGGCAAACACATTTAATCAGTTAGCTACAGTTAGCTACCTAGAAATATAGAAAACACATAAGCCTAGAACAAAGACAATAAGAAGGCAGTGAAGGAAACTGAGGAAAAGCCTCTTAGAGTGTATTTATTCTCAATTTTGCATCTGGGTTTTCTATCAGAAGGCAATCTGAGTGTCATACAGACAATTAAGTTCTGAATTTAAGTTTAGTGGTTTTGGAACTGTGTTAAGAACTGACTGTGCCCAATCAGCCAGGAGGCAACCACAGTAAGTGGAGATGCAGTGACATCTGCTGTTAACTTCTGGAACTGGCAACCCCTCCACCTCTGAGAAGAGAAAACAAAAGCCACTAGCTGCATGGCATGCTTACAGGCCTGACGTCCATTCCTGACATACTTATCATTAAAGAAAATGTGAATTCTCGTGTACACTAGCATCGTAAGAGTTGAAACTCTTGGGGCCAGCAGGTGGCGTGGTGGTTAAGGGCACTGGACTCCCACATGGCTGACCACAGTTCAAGTCCTGGACCTGGTGGCTTATTTTCTCTCTCTCTCTCTCGCTCTTTGTCCCTCTCTGGTCAGATATTAAATAATTAATTAATTAAAATAATTCTTTAAAGAAAGCTCTTGATTACACTGCACGTGCAGTGTGCCACCGCCACTGCACTTAGAAATCTGGGACAGTGTCTGGAATGGGAAACTTGCATCCAAGGCTCTAAGACGATCTCATACGAGCCTTAAAGAACAGTCTTGACAGGAGGCAGCATGAGAGACTCTTCCTCACTCTTCTCTTCTAGCTTCCTAACCAAAGACAGCAATCGTTCCTTCTACTGTTTGTTTTCTCCAACAGATATACTTATTCCTACTTATCTTCTATGACAGGTTTTAAAACTTTTGAAAGTATGTATAGGTGTGGCATCCTCAGCTGGAGGAAAAGAAATGCTTATGAGAATGTACAGTCTTCAAAAGCTGTTGTCAGTAAGTAAGACTAATGACATTTCCCACCCTGGCTTTGAGAACTAAGACTCTTTAACTCACTGGGTCTTATACTTAAAGCCATCTTTCTCTCTCTTTGCCTTGATTACTACTCCAAAGTGTTCATAGATTCTACTTGGAGCCCATGTTCAGGATCCTAACAGATCATACTGAAATGCAGTAAGGATGTTAAACAAACATGTATAATCTGTCCAGTAAAACTGAATTGTTAAGAATTGGTGCAATTTCTCCAACTGGTAAATTTGTTTCTCCTAGGGATATTGGTTAAAAATGCTGCAACTGCCGTGCATGTATAGTGGGTTGAACAAATTAGTAAATGGGTAGGAGGTAGTGAGAGCAAGGTGTCTCGCTGTCCAAGAATGTTAGAGATAAGCAAGAAAGGAAGGCAATCCAAAATGAGCCCTGTGGTACTGGACCAAAGTCAGAGGTATCAATATAAACTCGTGGTTAGATTAACATATACAAAGATGAAGAAAAACAGAATTACAGAAATGTATGTACATAGGACCAGTTCCATAGCCTAGTGGGTAAGACAGCAAGATTCCACTGAGCCAACTGCAGCTCAAGTCCTGGCCCCGGAGACTTGAGAGACATGCCAGGCATGTGTGCCCCAAATCCCAACAGAATGAGGAAACAGAGAAGGGACACTGCAGCGTCACTGTACCCCAGTGGCGGGGGGGGGGTACTTTCTTGCTCCCTCTCTGATGAGTACACATCCTCTAGCAGTTAAAAAAAAAGCAAAGAAATGTCTGTTATATAAAGGTTAGAATACATACATGTATTACCCCCTGCTGAGAGGGGTAAAAGAAATAACATCCAATAATGACACCCAGTAGCAATGAACATACTCTGCTCAGATCTGGGTTTCTAAATACCATTCTTCAGCAGAAAGAAGCATGGCTTCTTGAATAGTTAATTCTACAGTTAGGGGATGGAAAATACTAGATGAACTGAGAGCTCCTTGTAGAACCAGAAGGGAAGTGGAAAAAGAACAAGGGTAAGGGCGCAGCACAGGGACACAGAAGCCAACTGGAGAAGCTCCCTCTGGCTGGAATAACTTGAGCAACAAAATAAATATAGGAGCTCCCCGCTTAACAACTGAGTTCTGTCCTGTGGCCAGGTCATTAAGTGAAGTGGTCGATAAGCAAGGAGCTGAAAGGCGGATGTTTTGTGTGTAGTGATGCCACAGGGTATGTATTTTTCAGTAGCTACCACATGACACCACACAAGAACAGAATTCTAACCATACAATAAGTATAAACTGGAGCCGGCAGGTGCGGTGACTGAGGACTCTGGACTCCCACACGGTTGGACGACTGTGGTTCAGGTCCCGGAACTGGCGGCTTGCTTTCTCACTTTCCCTCTCTCTCTCACTCTGTCCCTCTCTGGTCAAATTGGGATGAATGAATGAATGTAGTTAAATAAAATAATTCTATTTTTTTTTAAAAAAAGCATACATTAAGTTCCAGAAAGCAACAAGACACATAATAATATAAATCGGGTGTAATAATTTTTATTTATTCTGAATATTACTATGGGTGCACAATAAAGCTGAAATTTATAAACTAAATATGCAGTCTTATGTGATTGTGACGCTCTGCGTAGTATTGCTTCATACAGTGAATACTAGTGCACTGCGAGAAAGAGACAAAACAGAAAGGGGATTCCCAAGACTCATACAGACTGAGAAAGGGGATTCCCTGCCTGCAGACCTGGCTATAAGTCAGAGCAGCTGTTAAGCAAGTAGGTCATTGAGAGAGAAGTGGTTGTAACATATCCAATAGTACATCCACGGTATCCACAGGGATTGATTCCAGGTCCCCCCCCCCATACCAAACTCCCCTGGTGCTTAAGTCCCTTACAGCTGACCCTCTGTACCCAAGGTTTCACTTCTGCAGGTACAAAGGAAATTCAAGCCTCAACTGGCTGAACCTGTGGATGCGTAACCCGAGGATACAAAGGGCTGACTGTAGATGAGTCCACAGTGACAGACACAAATGACTAAGTAAATGGGGGAGAAGAGACCAACTTCTCTAACGAAGGAATCGCAAACAATACATACAGATACTTCCCACTCCAAGAGATGCACCCTAACTCTGCACATCTCTCACTCCTCCTTGAGTGTGGCCTAGCCTTAATGATTTGTTTCCAAAGAATAGAATAGGGAAAGGAAAAACAGTAACTTCAGAGTAGAAAAGCCTGGTAAACACACTACTTAACCACGTGGACAAGGTTTGTTGTTGTTCAATAAAGTTTGAAGCAGATACCTCTGATAGGGCACTTCGCCTCTGTGGTACGCACCCCAAAACCTGTATTATGAATCTATCATGAAGGAAAC